AAGCAGAGCTAGGATAGTGTCCTGCAGAGATACCCATGATAGGTACCCACACCGTGCATTGAGTTAGTGTGGCAAAGACTCCTGGAACCAAGTGCACATGCCTAAGTCTCTAACTTCCTCACCTCTTCTTGGGCACCCAGGGGCTCACCAGAACACAGGTCCAGTTAACAGTGCTGGGGACGGCTCCAACACGACCTTGGTTAGTATTGTCTTCCGGATGTGGGAAGAGCATGCTTACACTGATTTGTGAGGTCTTTCACTGGCTGTCCCACCCTACACTGCGCTCCCAGCACAACCACCCAGGCAGCACTGAGCCAAAACCTCCCTGCTGATACGCAGGTATTTACTTTTTTGCCAAATTATTATTTTTACTATTTTTCACTGACAAAGTCCTCCCTTCTCACCGATAGCCACCCAACACTATATAGGAATTTCATCTCTGCCTTTTGCTAAATCCTCATTGTATTTACTAGCTCTGAAGGAAAACTTCTCCAGTGGAAACACCTGGCCACATCTTGGATCATCGCTAAGCCTTTCAATGCCAACACCTGGGCCCTTGAGGACCCCTTCACTCCGATATATTGAGCACTGAGTTTGTATAATGTGTCTAATGTGTGTGGCAACTGGAGAATGGGTGTCAGAGGAAGCTTGGGCTGCAATCCTGGGTTTTTTGTGGAAAAAAAAAAACAAAGTTCTAGCTCATGTGATAAATGCAAAAGCATTCAGGAGAAACTGAACTGAGTAAAAACTGAGGATAAAAGGCACTTGGAAAGCAGTCAGTAGAAGCAGCCTCTTTCTTAATCCTCCGTCCTTTCTGTTTAAAAAAATTTTTTTTCACATGATCACAATCAAATCTACCCTTTTCAGAAATCTAGGAACAAGCTCAATTTTCATAAATTCTCTGAAAAAGCTAAGCCTTTGGGCCTGGTGCAATGGCCCCATCATCATCTTGCTAAGCGCCAGGATCCCATATGGGTGTCAGTTCATGTCCCAGCTGCTTCATCTTCCTTTCAGCATCCTGCTTGTGGCCTGGGAAAGCAGTTGAGGACAGCCCCAAGCCTTGGGAACCTGCACCCGTGTGGGAGACCCAGAAGCTCTTGACCCTTGGCTTCAAATCAGCTCAGCTCCAGCCACTGTGGCCACCTGGGGAGTAAACCAGCAGATGGAAGATCTCCTTGCTGTTTCTCTCTCCTTTGTGAATCTTTTTTCCAATAAAAATAAATCTTAAAATACATATATGTATTTAAGCTGCTAATTAGAAGCTATTAATAAATGTCTGGGTTTATGTGTTTATTTTGATTTCACTTTTGTTAGGGCTGGGTAGGGAGAAGTACACACATATGTCTGATGGCATTTCCTTCCAAGAATAACCTTTCCTGCTGGACTCAGGGTGAAAAGAATAATCAGTATGTTCGCTCTGTGAATCTGGCTGCCCTGTGTAGCTCCTTAATCCTGCACATCGCAGTGTCTGAGCCCCATGCTTGCCTGTCATTGGTCAGTTCTGATGGGAACAAAATTGCTGTAGCAGGTGCTCAGAGAAGCAATCAATGGGAAGCGGAGAACACAAACCTTTTCATTCTACACTGATGGGCCGTCCCGGCTACCGTCGGCCTTGGCTTCTGGACGCCACCAAGAATGAACTACTTTAGATTAAATATTTTCTTAACAACATGTGATACCTAATAAAAGCTAAGCTGTGGTAAAATTGGCACTCTCATGCATAGCTGATTGTAATTAGAGCACATCTTTTGAAAAGCAGTTTGGCACTAAGCACCAAACCCCTAAAAGTTTGCAAACTTTGACCCAGGAATTCTCTATCTGGGAACCTGTGTGGGAGTGAGGAAAGTCTAATCAGGAAAACAGACATGCATAAAAACCCTTACATGTTATTTTACAGCAATGAAAAAATACAGGAATGACCTGATAACCCAAGAGGTTATTTAAACTATGCTAGATCTACCAGCTGGATGAATCTTAATAAAACTAGTCTGTCCAAACTCCAGTGGAAAGCATGTTTGCTGTATTGTCAGAAAGATTATTTTTATAACACAAAGTATAAATATGTCAATTTTTGGTAGTGATAGGTTTTGGTCCATATAGATCTTGAGTGACTTTTCTTTATATTCATGTTAGTTTCAGGCTTATCCTAAGGACAACAGAATATAACTTTGCTAATCAGCAAGTAACAGAACAATAATAGACATTTTATAAGGAAATAAATGACCATGGAGGCAACATGAGATTTATTTTTTCCCCATTGGTTTGGAGGATGGCCCGGGAGGGTGTAGAGCAATTGAGGTGAGACGCCTGCTCTCCTCCTCTGGCCCTGCTTCTGCCTTCCAGGGTTTCTACAGAGTATGGAGAACCAGGGTTCCTTTTCCCAGGCACACTGACCCCACCAATCTGGTGTGTTCACCACTCTGCATTCATTCTCAATGCCACAGCACTAACCAAGAGACCAGAAACCAAAAATACTCAGCATTTATTAAGCACTTCATACACACAGATGCTGTCTGGGGACCTTTTACACCAGCATTTCAAACCTTTCTCAGGCTTACAAAAGTTCTTAGTAAAAGCATCTATTGTCTTCCTCCCTCCCTCTCTCCTAGCAGCCCCCACCACCTGCCCTCCTCCTACCCACAACACAGAGCTGTGTGTTAGGAAGAGAATGAATTCAGAGAAATGGAGAAATGGCCAGAATGAGTGTCCTTTGTTGTTGGGAAGAAGCCCCTAGAGAGGCATCTTCAGGTGGGCTGTTGGGACAGGGAAGGTTCTAGACACAGTGCGCCAGAAAATCCCCAAAGCCTTCTTCCTGTGATGTGGCTTATTGGCTTCATAGGCTGCAAGCCTATTTTGCTGACGTCAGCAGCAGCCCATCAAAGTTTAAAATAATAACAGTGAAGAGAAACACGCAGCCCCTTTCTGCCAGGCATTCCTGTTTGGCCAACTTCGTGTGTTCTTTTCTGAGGTAAGAAATAGCCAAGAACCACCTCCCTGCCACCACCACCCTGGGCAGGGGCGTGGGGCAGAGTGGGGGAAGTAGGATCATCTAAAAGCCACCAGGTCAGCCCCTTGCCAACATAAACCATTTAGATGAGTAGCAGTTGTCACACTCTCCTGGGGATTTTACATCTGCCTCAAAATGAAAGCTACCACCAGATTTTTTTGTGTTGAGGGCAGCAAATGATGGGGGACAGTGACTTTCTTTTGGTTCCCTTTTTTCATTTGAACCCCGCTCAAAACCAAATGCATCGACATTTTCTGCCTCCTCTGAAACTTAAACACCGTAATTATGCTGGGTAATGTTTCGGGAAAACATCAATTAAGAGTGCAGCCTTTTAACTCCCGTGTTGCTTGGAAATCGAAACATACACGCTTGTGCTTGTGGTGGGGCTGGCGGCTGCAGAAGGTCAGCAAGGCGAGGCCCCCAGTGACAACAAAGTCCGCAGCAGAAGACACTGTTTTGCCCAAGAAGACCTCTGAAAGGAGCCCCCTGAACCAGTCCCTCCCCAGCTGACACACAGTTACCCCCAGGCTCCTGCACTAGCTGGCACCCCCCTGCAACAACACACACACTATTAATACCCCTCAGGACAGATAAGATCCCACATTCACCCAAGGCAAGCGTCTCCCACGAGACCAATACCCAGCCACAACTGGTAAGTTTTCATTGCAAGCCCGGAAACAGTTAACGCTGAGTTCCCACCGGCCATCTCCAGCTTCTGAGAAAGTGTCACCTTGCGTCTCCTGGCACGTGCACAGGTGTGCACCAGACAAGTAATTCCAGTCCTTCACTGTCTTTTGTATGCTTTTATCCATGCTTCCATGGTTGTTCCAAAGGCTCGCCCAAGGTGTACTGTGAAATCACTCCATTTCATGTTCACCCCTTATCTAGGACATCCTGCTATTTACACTATCTGAAGCTGGAACAAGGGGCCAGTCTGCCTACTGATACAGAGGTGGCTGGCTTTCACTGCCGAGTTCACTTCCAAGACTGAACACTAACAGGATCTTCACTTTCTAGTTGACACTAAAGTGCTTACTAAACAGCAAATGTTGTACGTAACTCGAATTCTGCAACTTTCTCCTTGTTTTTTTCTGAAGTAGTGGCTGGGATCAAAAGGAGCAATAGGGCTTAAAGGGGCACACACCAGCCTTCACGGGGAAGAATCGCAGAGCAGATTAAACTTTAACCAGGGATTGTGTTTGCCAGGATTGGGTATCTCAACAAGGTTGCCTTTGGCTTTTTATGAATAGAAGGTTATAGGGGGAAGGTCTGGTTCAAACATACAGTGTAGTTACTAAGGCAGAGGCAAGGTTAGACTTCCACACAGTTTAGCTTTGGAAAGAAATTGGAAGGCAAATGAGTTAGCTGATGGGTAGTCCCCAAATGTGCAGAAATGTAAACAGCCAGGATTTGGGTGCCTGTGCTTTGTAGCAAAGATGTAAGTTAAGGCTGAGACCAACACCAGTGCGTCCTCTGTGGCTAGTTTTAACATGTTTACAGCCACAATTAACATTCAAGGAATTTCTTTCTCATCCAAGTACTTCTTTTAAGAACACTTTGTGCCACAAACTCAAGTGCTAGCTGCCATCACTGCTTCCCGTACAGAGAAGTGATGTGGTGGCCTCACACTTGCTTTTGCTTTTATGAAAATGGGCTCGGACCACGTCAAATTCCGGGGGACGTTTGATTTTCACTACGGGGGTGGGGGGCTCACCTCTTCTCTCCCTCCTCCCTTCCTTTCCAAGAGCACTCGGATTGGAGATCCAGCGCCCTTCTCACGTCCCTCCACACTCATCCCTGGGGCTGGTCAGAGGGGAGCCCCTGCCTGGTAGGTATCCTAAACCCTCCCAGGGGCAAGTGGAGCACCGCTGCCGGCCGTCTGAACTCTCGGCTCACCGTAGCCGGGTTGCCTGCCGTCCCCGAGCCGGCCAGGCCGCTGCGTGCGGCAAGAAGGGGAGCAGCGACCATGCTGGCTGCCCCCGCCCCCGTGCCCTTACACAAGGGATTCACACACTGGCACCGAGTCCGAGTCCTGGCTGTGCATGGAGCTCAGTCCGGTGTCCGAGTCCTCGTCGTTGCCAGCACAGCTCTTGGCCATTCCCCGGGCCTGGTCCACCCACACCTCGGCGCAGGATTGGGGCCGCGGTTCCCGCACCTGTGCGTTGGAGCCGGGAGCCCCGCCGGGCGCTACCGTGAGCTCCAACGAGTGCAGAGTGTGGAGAAGGCCCTGCAACTCGCGCTCCTTGCTGTCCCACTGCTGCTGGCTGTAATCCAAGTCCGACTTGACGGCCTCCAGGTCCGTGTTGAGCCGCAGCCCGATGTACAGGCTGGTGCTGAGCTGCGTCCTCACCCGCTCCTGCTCCAGTTGCAGCTCGCCGTCGGGGCCGCCGGGGCCGCCGGGGGACTCCGGGGACTCCTCCCGCCCTGCCAGCTCCTCCCGGCGCCGCTGCATCCACCTCTGGTTGAGCTCCTCCTGAATCTCGGCGGAGAGGCGTTCCAGCAACTCCTCCTGCTGGGCCCGCTGCTCCTGCAACTGCAGCAGGTCGTCGCAGCGCCGGGCCAGCTCCTCCAGCGCCGCCGTCTGCATCTCGCCGTCCACGGCCGCTGCCGCCTCCTCCTCCTTCTCGCCGGGCTCCTCTCCTGGGGTAACCCCCTCGAGCTCGAGGCCTACCCCCATCAAGTAGGTGTCCTGGACGTAGTTGACCCCATGCCGCCGCATACGATCCAGGTGCACCTTGGCCTCGTAGCGGTCGATCTGGAGGTCCAGCTCTCTCAGCCGTTGCACCTGCTGGCGGATTGTGTGGTCTTGGGAGAGCACCAAATGCACCAACGTCTCCATGCGCTCCATCGACGCGCTCTCATGGGCCCGCGGCGGCGACGAGCAGGACGAAGCCGTGGACGACGAAGTGGAGGAACAGGACGACGGCGGCTGCTGCAGGCGCCGCCGATTGAGCTTAGCCAGCTTGCGGAAGGCTTTGCGCACCACCCGCCGCTGCTTCTCCTGGGTCATGGCTAGGCTGGGCCGCGCCGGAGCCCCCCGGGTGGGGCAGGGGCGGTCGCGACTAAGCACGACTCGTGCCTCGGCGCTGCGAGGCCCGGCGTTGGGCAGCGACGCATCGCTCCGCACCAGCACGAAGCGCACGTTTTCTTGCTCGTCGCCCCAAGCGGCCCAGAGGCGCAAGATGCGCGTCTTGTTGGGCAGGATGCGCTCAAAGCCGCGCCACTTCTCCACGATGCAGTAACATTGCGGGGGCCCGCATAGCATGCCCTGCGGCAGTGCCTCGTCCTCGTCCTCCTCGTCCTCGTCCGGGGGTTCCGGCGGCTCTCCGGTGCCTGGCGGGGCACCGGCCTTCCTGCGCCGCTGGCCCCGCCGCTGCCTCCGCCGCTGCCGGCAGCCGTCCTCCAACAGCACTCGCACCACGTCCGAACAAGTGGTGCGCCGGGAGAGGCCGGACACTAGCTTCTCCTCCTGGCAGATCCACACAGATATCTTCTTCTCCGAAGGATCCATGGCGCAAGCCGGACGCGGATGGCAGGTCCGGCCAGGTCCTGGCTGGGGCATCGGGGGCAGCAGCGGCAGCTCCAGGTTGACGAACAACAGTGACCCCTGGTCTTTCCGCCCCCCCAGGCACCAGCGCTGGCTGCAGCGGCTACGGCTGCTCCCGGCCCGGACGACGGGCGCTCGCGAGGAAGGACGCCCGCACTGGGGCTCCTGCCACTCTGGCTCTGCTCAAGGTGCCCGCGGCCTCCGGGTTTTTGCTCCTCCCCACGTGGCTCCACCTCCTCCCGCCCCTAGCGCCCAGAGCTGCGGCCCAGAGAGCGGGAGGCGCGGCGCCCAGACCCGCCCCTTATGGCCCCTCGGAGCGCCGGCTGCCCCCTTGCTATCCTGAGGCTCAGCCTCTATCCCAGACAGCGTCCGCCTCTTTTTTGTGAGGCGGCGAAGAGAGGACTCCGGAACCCCTGGACTGTAAGGCCCAGAGCCTGCACCTAAGCAGGGCTCTGCTCTGCGGCTCCCCTGGCACGCCCGCTTGTCTCCTTGCGTCTTGCGCCAGAAGGACGCATCTTAACTCGACTTTCTCGGTCCTTGACTTTCCAGGGAGCGCCGTCTGCGGGTGCACTTCACACAGGCGCGCGGCAGTTTGCCACTGAGGTGCTGGAATCGTGGCACTTGACCAGGCAGGAGCTGTAAGCGCTGCCTCTGGCCCCAGATCTACCAGTCTTCCCGCATAGGAAGCAACCTTTGGGTATTTAAGCAGACGTGAGCAAGTGTAGACATGCAGAGTTCTAGGCTGGAGAGAGGGCGCCAGCAAAATTGCATCCGTGGGTCTCCACCTCAGATGGGCTTCCCGCAGCCATCGTGGCAAGGGATTTTCGGATTCTAGCGGGAGTTCATTCCGGGGGTTCAGCTCTTTTAAGGGGGTCGTGACCATGCCAATGTTCGGCATGTCCTGCTCTCCAGATGTGGTCAGGAGACCAAGTATCACAGCTTAAGAAATCCAAAACCACAAAGCAGCTGAACTTGCTTCATTGTGGGCTGCTGTTGAGGATGGTCCCCTGAGTGCCTGGTTGTCCGTGAGCTTGCCTTTATGAGCCCTATCTGCCTCAACACCTCGGATGACTTCCCATAGCCAGCTTTTGTTGTTTGTTTAATATTTATTTATTTGAATGGTAGTTACAGTTCCCAGATGGTTCAGTCATCAAATGACTGCAGTGGTCAAGGCTGGGCCAGGATGAAATCAGGAGCTTTTTTCAGATTTCCCATGTGAGTGCAGGGGCCCAAGCACTTGGACTCCCTTGGTCTTCTCTCTCAGGTGCATTAGCTGGGAGTTGGATCAGAAGTGGAACCTTCAGAAACTGAACCTGGAGCCACATGGGATACCAGTAATGCAGGTTTAAGCATTGCATTTTGGCTAAAGTGTATTCTTTGTAGGTGTATGTTTGAATAAGGAGGTCTGCTGTGCTCCAGGTCTGTGCTGTAGCCTTGGTCTTGGACAGATCACCAGTGCTGCTGTACAAGGTGCTGTCTACCTGGTGAGGGGGCACAGCTGAATGAACATTCCCAAGCCGGTGCTTCCCTCTCTGCTCAGGGAGAGCAAAGAGCATCAGAGAGCCTTCCCGGATACTGGAGTAGCACTCACCCCACCCGGGTGGTCCGAGGAAGGCGTCCCGTTAGAGACAGCACTTTAGGCAAGACCCAAGTTGATTTGAGTCAACTAAAGGGAAATCAAGTCAGTGGTGGTTGTGGATGGGAGAGAGTGTTTCAAGGAAATCAGATGCAAAATCGAGGGACCGAGTCAGTATAGCACTTCCCAAGTCATACATTTAAGTGAGAAGAGGGTCTAAAACTAAGGTTGGGTGGTTGAACAGAAACCAGACCAGGAAAGACCTAATGACATGGAGAAGCAGGAGCGCACAGAGTACAAATCTCAACTCGCTGCTGACTAGCTAGGACCTGAAGGTGAGCATTTTGTCTCTCTGAGCCTCAGTTTTTCTCATCAGTGAAATGGTGACCCTGAAACTGCTTGGCCGCTCCACTGTGTATGCAAGTGAAGCGCCTGAATGGTACAAAAGAGGAGGCACGAGGGAACACTCCTGGGTATTGGCGCATTCACCAAACCAGCTTCATGAAAGACTTGGAAATCTGAGAGGTCTTTCTCTCTTTCAAAGCATAGAGAGTCAGAGAGATCATATAAATATTCCCGTCCTGCTGGTTCATTACCCAAGTTCCCATAACAGCCAGGCCAAACCAGGAACTCCATCTGTCAAGGGAGGTGGTGTTGATGAACAGTGTCAGTTCTTGTCCCATGATGAGAAAATGAGAGTGAATAAGACCCACATTTTATTGAAAGCAGGGAGCCTCATATCCTAGTAGTCAGGATGAAAGATGTTGCCAAACTGCCATTTGCTCCTCCACCCTTACCTAACTCCCTGTTAAATCCATCTAACTCCTCACAAATCCAGATCTCCCATGTAGGCAGCAGGCAGCCAGTCACTTGGCCACCACTGTTGCAGGAGTCTGAGTTCTTTCTTTTCTCTCTCTCTCTCTCTCTCTATTGGGCTTGTGTCTTATGCTCACAACAGGGAGGAGCATGGAAAAACAGACATGGTTTATTCAAGAAAAATAAAGAAAATAGAAAGTGAATGGAAGTCAGTGGGGAAGTCAGTGCGGGTGGGGGAGACAACACTAAGCAATTTCTTAAAAAAAAAAAAAATAAGTAAAATGTGGCAGCAAAAATACCTTCCAATAGCACTGAGACAGGTTCCTCCAGAGAGCTGGTATGAAGGCTGATTGTCTAGGGTTTGGTAGGCTGAAAAGGAGGACATTCTCAAGACTGGTGTAAGAGAGAGACAGTTTTCACTGACCAACTGGATGACATCTCCAATCAAAACTCATTAGAAATATGGGAAATTTTCCCTCAATGAGTAGAATTCATATGACCTGGATTGCTTATAACAGCGCAGAAAAAGCTTGATTACAGCGACTGGCACGTGAAATCAACATGGCTTACAGAAGCTATTTATTTGAATCTTCTCATCCCCAGATAGTGTGGAGGGGTCCCTGCCTGCCTCAACAGGATTCTATCTCTCTCTGTCTACTTCTGCCTTCCCAAGTCTCTCTATTGAAGGAAAGCTAAAAACACAAGCCAGAACTGAGAATTGAACCCATACACTTCAATGTGGTATGTGACTTCTTAAAAAAAAAAAAAAGTATGTACTAGGCAGAATTATAGAGAGATCTTCCATCTGCTGGTTTACTCTCTATAATGGCCAATGGACCAGGCCAAAATCAGGAGCCCAGAACAGGTGAGTGCAGAGGTTCACAACTTGAGCCACCTTCCACTGCGTTTTCCTAGGCAGGCACATCAGCAGGGAGCTGTATCTGAAGTGGAGTAGCCAGGTCTCAAACTGGCATTGATATGGGATGCCGGATCATCGAGAGCAGCTTAACTAGATGTGCCACATCAGCCTGGCATGTGGATATCTTAGCTAGCATCTTACATGCAAAGCCAAGCATCTCCCAGTTTTTAACTTCCATATAATAAACTGCCACAAACTTAATGCTTTAAAACAATACCTATATGTTTTATGTCTCTGCTCCTAGAGGCCTCACTCAGGTCCTTTCCAAGGAGTACCCTCTGTTCACACTGTAGAGCCCACAACAGCAGGTGAAATCCACTCACTTCCTTTGCTTCTAGTCTCCCTGACACCCATCTCCATCCCCTATTGGAGAGAATGCTTTGCTTCTAAAGACCTTGCTTAACTAAGACACCTGCAGAATTTCTCTCTCAAATTAGCAGTAATTTAACCATGTCTGCAATGTGCCTTTTTGCCCTGTCCTGTAGCACAACCAGCAAAGTAATACCAGGAAAATAGAGATTGTGTGCCTATTTCAGAATTCTCCCTTTTCTAGGGCACAATGTGATCAAGTTTGCATTTTTGAAGGATCACTCTGTTTGCATGGGTGAGAGCTGGGTTTGATGCAAGACAAGGAATCCTTTTAGAAAATTCGCATTTATTCAAGGAAGAGCTGGTGGAGGGAAGATCGAACAGAATTGAGAGCTATCAAGGAGATGGCAGAGGAAGGACTTGGTGATAGATTGAACAGGGATTTCCTTCTCCCAGCACAATATCATAGATCTCATACAGTCTGGACCAGCTGATTCAGAATGCCAAAAACCAGTTGGGTAAGTTGTTATTGAGCCCCCAAACCTGGGTATGCTTGCCCCAGACACAGAAAGCCAAACACTATCATTGGGGTGGTGGAAATAAGGAGGTATTTATTACAGAGAGCAAGGAGCCAGGTCCAAGGGCTTCGGGGTGAAGGCTCTGAAGGGTTGAGGCTGGGGAAGAGAGATGTGTATTCAGTGTGTATCCACATTCTGGTTGGCTGGCAGTGCCCGTGGCCTTACTTTGATGGGTGGGCGAAACTGTGTTCTTTAGGGAATTTTTATGATTAGTGGGCTTCAGCCTGGGGACTTGGTGCAGGTAATAGTTACATACTGCTTGTGTCTTTCCACAAAAAGAAACACCTTCAGACAAAACAAACCATCCAGGTGTTATCCAGTGAAGAAGCAAATGACCTCTTGAACTCAGTGACTAGAACCTCATAGAACTGGCTACAATTAGTTGATTTTAGTAAGTGGTTGATTTGTTATCAAAAAGGCAGGGCAAGGACACCTTGAGCTAAGGGAGGTAGGCCGGGAGACTGGGACCTCGTGGCACCCAGCATCTAGAACATTCCAGGTGCAGGGGCTTCACAGTCCTCCATCCCAACCCCTCCTTCATACTCTGGGTTCTCTTCCTCCTCCTCTCACAACTGATAGTTGAGATCTCATAATCAGCTGGCACCCCTAATTGATATGAAGCTCCATCAGGGTGCACATCCTATCTGGCTTGTTCACCTTGAAATCGGCAAAATACCTGGCATGGTTCATGTTTATGCAGTATCTGCCAAATAAACACATGGACCAATGAATGAATCCTACATTCTAGCAAGCCACCACAGCACTG